TATTGGATTAAAAGAGATGTACTCACAAATCTGCTTGATTACAATGTAATAGGGCCGGTTCATGTCACCCGATATTTTGTTCCCTCATTCCAAATTGCAAACAATGACAGTAATAAGGCACTACACCTACCTGGAAATTTTGTTGATGATGTGATGTTAATTGGAGGTTTTGTTAATTGGAGGATGTTGCTATGGACATTTTACCTTTATTGTGGTTTGAAATGCACTCATCAATACCGATTCTTTATAACCCTGAAATGTTCAAAAAAGCATTGCAGTTCCCCTTTAAATTGCTTAATAAACAGTCCCACATTATGCCTTGCATTTCCCTTAACACATACCGTAAACTTGCACTTCTGCATAGTCAAGGCTCTGCTCAGTGTCCATGGGCAAGACCGTCCTTTGACAGCTACTGTATAAGGCAAAAAAAGGTAAAAGAATTTAAAAAGTCCAGAAGAACAGTTCAATAATGTACATAATTCTCAACATCATTCCTTTCATTATTCTTTTCAACACCTTTTAATTCAGAGGGTTAATTCCAGTTGAGAAGGTACTGTAAATGTTAATTTCAGCAACTGAAAAGAAACAGATTAGCAAAGGAAAGCCACAATGTAGAGGAAATTTTTCAGAGGAAACCCACGTGTCACTTCTAAAATCTACTTTAAAATAAGCTTTACATGAACACAGAATTCCTTATCTTTGAAAGGTATTCCTGAAGCATTTCCTACTTACAAACATAATCATTCAGAATTTCAAAATTCTATTCATTAAATAAAAAAGTAATTAAGTGCAATTTATTCACTTACCTGGTAAGATACATTTCACATATTAACAAAAACAGAGAAACCAGCAGTGTAACAACCAGAAAATATTTAAATTATAGTAGGAAACCTTACAGATAAAGTTCAGTGCTAATTTGTTGTCGAGCTTTGTTTCATAGGAATTCTCATTTGGATTATTTTTCAGGTTTTACAATTCCTGCATGTATACTTTTTGACACTAAACCTCTTTCAGTAAGTAAAATGGGAAGCATTGAGGTATTAGAAAAAGCACATTAAGTAGGACATACATTTTTACAATAAAAAAGCAAAAGAGTTTCAGCATGTGGAAACTGCTATCATTTCAGACTGTGGTGAAAATCTTCACGATCTCCTGATCTTCTAGTCAAAAGTAGTTGCTGTCAAAAGCACACTACAACTGAGACAACCCTTTATCACTAATTGTCTACTCTACAGCATCCCATGTTTGGAAAGTTAAGTATAGGCCTCAGTATATTCAGTGCACTGTTGGAAGAGGATAATTTCAAGATTTATTGTCTCATTTGGGGAATTTTGTTTTACAGCACACTCCCAACATCCCTACACAAAGACAGACAAACGTTTACCAACCAAGAACTCAGTGAAATAGTGTTACAGCAAGAAAAAGGAAAAGCTAGTCATGATACATTGTTTGAAAAAGATATGCAGTGGAGTTGAAACAATTCTTGTGTCTATTAGTCTTACACCTGGGGACACAGAGGCATCTCCCAGACAGAAGTGTGAACTCGCTGTGGAGATACACTCCAAAATACATTCTGCTTTCTTTGCTACCCTCTGTTTGTAGAGAGTATTTAAGGCGATTTGATTTGCTCCATTTACTACTTCTTTTGGCTAATTTCCCAAGCCTATTACAATCAATGGTACTGTTACCAAATCAGCAGGTGAGACAGTATGTTAAGACACTTTCAATAAAAGACTTGTAGAAAGTATTAAGATGGTTCCATCTACCTTGAAATAGCTTAGTTTCTGTAGAATAAGTGTCTCTGTTGTCGTTTTTATAAATGGTGTCACAACATTTGTCCCAACTCGGGTATTGTCTATGACAAGTCCCCAGTACTTGTAGTCACGGACAATTTCTACAGTCTGACCATTCATTACAGTAGGTTGGAGGAGTGATAGCCTGCAAATGTGTAGGTGTGGTTTGTTACAGATACTGGATATACTACATTTCGCAGTATGTACTAAGGCCAAATAATTTTGAATTCCCCCTTCATATTAACAATAGTAATAATTGCAGAGACAAAATATCAGTTCATTGTACGATTTGAATGATTGGCTGATTAGTTGATTGATAAGACTGACCTTTATAACAATACACTATAGAAAGGCTATGCTGTTAAGTATAAGATATAAATCATTTTTTCTTATCCCTTTGACTAGTGACTGTCAAAGATAATTGCTTATTTTACAAAATGAACAATTTTGCATCGGAGGCTTAATACACAATAACCCAAATGTGAGATGTAAACAATATACTGAAATACCCCAGCACAGACTGAAAGAACATGTTGAGACAAAAAAAAACAGCACTCCTCTCTAGTTAGGAAATGCCAGCGTGATGAAACAGATTTTAAAATGACTTCTGAAGACAGATAGAGCTTTGTACAGTCTCGAGTAGAACATTTCACTAGAAAGCCATATTGCCCTGAGTTTGATATATAGCCATGGATCTCATAGCAAACAAAAATTGAAAAAGCAACGCCAGAAAGTCTTCTGACGTATGTACTGTAGGAAGGAGTCAGATTGTTTAGTGCTGTAGGGGTCAGAATAAGGCCTTCAAAGTCAATCCTACAGAACACTGAAAGCCGATGCAGGAAAGTAAGAACAAGAGTAACATTCATGTGGAGCTTGCATCGGGTTAGGATTCAAACAGTGCTCTTTTATATTCACGATATACAGTATTCACTCAGCCTTTATTACTAAAAATTAAAGTTTGCTATGGGGGTATCTAAAGCAATTTTGTGGATGAGACACGACCAAACGCGACATCTTTACACAAAGCTAATGGAATTTCCACCGTGCATTGATAAACATTCAAGTGACATTAAATAGGTAACTCTGGAATTAAGTGGTTACAGATTGACTATACATAATTTAAATTCTTTTCTTCTTTGCTATAAAAACAGATTTTCCTTCTTTACTGATTTTTCCCATTTCTTAAATTAATATTTCATTTTATGTTTAATACTTAGTATCTAAATTCATTCCATTAATCTGTAAAGAGAGATGATGTACAATGAAAGTCATTATATAAAATGGAGATTAATATGATCATCACCATCCAGGTATCTTCATAGAGATGTCTGAATTAGATAAGCAATAAGCAACCAAATGTGCCAGATGGGACCAATAGCCTCCTCTTTATTGGAACATTTCTTAAGGTTAATCAGCTCTTCCAAAGAAACTATTCTAGTCACCCCTAGGCATGTTTTCATTGTGCAGGAACTACAGATTATATACAAGCTTCCAATTGTACTTGCACTGCAGTAAATTGTAAATATCATATGCACTTCCTAATTGGGCTCATCTAAATTTAGCATATCGTTACAGCATTAGGTGACTGGGAAGTGTCTCTCGCAGAGTAAACACTTCTAGCTTCAAAGCAGAGGGGACGTTTGCTGGGATGTGGGGGTTCCCTGATCAAAAACAATGATAAAGTTAACCTTGGTGTACCTAGGTAATTAATTTGTGGGTTAATGATTGTCAATGAGCAGCCCAGAAACACACCATATAAGATCATATTAAAACCACAGAAAGGAAGAAAGTACAATAAGAGAAGAAAAAGAGAGAGAAAACGGGAGAGAAGAGAGAAGAGAGAAGAGTCTGGAGGAGTTGGAACTTGAAGCTTGCACCAGATGAGATACTTCATGATCATCCAGACAAAAACTGATGGGAGCTAGGTAATTTATCCTTGCTGTATAGAGCTTGCTATTCTGGGTTTTAGGCAATTTAGGTAAAAAATTCCTCAGTTAGAGACATCGTTCCTGCTTATGGTCCATTTTTAGAATTGGGAGATAGACTCCTATTTAATTTGTGGCATCTGTGTCACACCTGAAAAAGGCTCCACGACCGAAACGTGTTTTCTTTCTTCTCTTTTCAGCATGGAATAAACCTATAACTTGTTCCTTATCTCTTATTTGGCCTCTGTAGGCATTAAGAGTTTAATACTTAGTAGATGTCTGTGAGTTTCCTGAGTGACAAGGATGGTAGGCCTCTGAAACGCCTTGTTCGTGTACACATAGTAACTTGTGTGTTGTACTGTATATTTCTTTGTGTGTAGTGTAGTGTTCGTATAGTCATCATTAATAAACATTTCTTTAACCAAGTGTGCCTGAGTTATTACTCTCTTCACCAAAGCTGTGCCAGGGAAAGAATTCACATGGCTCTAATTATACCAACTGCCCAGGTATATTCTGGAGAAATCACTTACAAGTTGGGGGTTATGAATTCTTTTTTTTTTTATCGACTAAACCAGTCAATTCCTTGTTTTCACTATTTCCGTAACAATTGGTGTCAGTACAGGATTCTCTGGTTTAGACAGTTTTGTGCAAGAAGGGTAATAATTTACAGAGGTAGATTCAATGCTTGTGCAAGATTTCACTTTAGGTTTATAATGGCATTAACTATAATTATGCAGATATTAGTACTTTTCAGCAAGAGCTACTAAATAAAAATGGATAACACCGAGGAAAGGTTCTATAACTGCTCTGTCAATTCCTGATTTTAGTAATATAATATACAGTAGTTTGTATTCAGACAATATGCAAATTCCAATATGGAAATTGAAGTTGCATTTTAATGTTATTTCTCAATTATATTGCAATTGGAGTAGTGCTGAAGACTATATAAAAGCTGATATCGATCCATCCATTTTCTAACTTCTTTTTCCAATATACTGGGTCATAGAGGAGCTGGATCCTATTCTTGCTACCAATGAGTGCAAGGTAGGGTACAGCCCAGACAGGATGCCAGTACATTGCAGGGCACATGTAGATGCAAACACAAACACACCAGTAGATGGGAACCTGGACATTTAAGATGGAACACAAGAGGGTGCTACTGGGTAATATTCCACGTCTTTATACCATACCTTGATCACATTCCAATTGCTAATTTCCATCAATGAGCACCCTAAACAATTAATGAGGCACAGCAGCAAATGCCAATTAAAGTACAAAACAGTTCATTTTAAAACTTTAATTTAGCACTAACAATGTTACAGAAAGAATTCAGCTGTTTAAGAAAAACAAATTGATCAATATAAACGACTGAACCAAGACTAGAGAACAATAGATGTAATAGCCTAAATGGCAAACACCTTTTTTGTGTTAAGTATATACGGCATCTGTGCACTTGCCTTTAAAACACTGCTAGACTGCAGCTACTGTATCTCACAGTATATAAGGAAATTGGCATCCATTAGAAAAAAGGAATAGAATATAGTTCTCAGTACCCTCTAAAATGTCCAATCACTATAAAAATAACCCCACATAACATTTTGTTTCAGGATTCCATGAGTTACATACAATGAAATCCTGCTACTAAATGTCGTAAACTTAAGGAATTAAAAGAACTGAAGCTTGGTAGCACACAATATTTCAGGGAAACAAATTGATTAAAGGGTTTTTCCTAACTCTTGGAACAGAATAATGTAAACTCATTATTATTACAGCTTAACTTACTGTACACCTGAAAAGAAGGACTAGAGGGTTTGGAAATCGAGAACAAGAGTCTGGAGTGAAAACAAGAGACACTTCTTTATAAAACAGCTGCTTATTCTTTATGATTCCTTATGAAGTTTGAAGAAGTTGCCTAATTAGATTTCTGAATAACACAGATATATCCTCTTTTTATTTGTTATTAGCATATGAAGTGTCTGAAGTACCATCTATTGTATACAACACCAGGCCATTTCCTTTCCAATTGTTAAATCTTCAACAGGTAATTTATCCTACATTCCTAAATAAAACCCTGCATGAAAATTGAAATGAAAATGTCAACAAAACAAATTATTCTTTACATGACACAAAGGCCACTTTACCTTTTCCAAGATCTGCATTTCTGTTAAATATAACTCAGAAACATTCTAAAAATATTATTTACTACATGTACCAACATTTGTATCCCAAATGAACAGTGACAGTGTACTGTATATACCCGTAACTGTATATTCTTTATCAACAGCTCTAGGCGAGATATGAAATTTCATATCACCGGGAGTTAGCCTTCAATAAATGCAAACACAAGGTAGCAAAGAAAAGGTTTTACTTGCCTTAAGTGAAAAAAGTAACACATAAGGGAAGCACACTGGAAGGGGGGTAAAACCACCAATTAAAATGTTCAGTTGTACAAAGAACAAAACACATATGCATATGAAGAAAGGTCTCTGTCCATTTTAATAGTATTTAGCAAAATGGTCTTTGAGTCCTGCAACTTAAAAAAAGTTTCCAGCTGCACAGAAAACAGACATCCTCAATTTGTCTTCCCTGGATTCATTATTCTAAGTTAACCTGTTGCTTAGTGTGTGGGAATGAGAAATTAATCGATATTTTACAATACCTTTACGAATTGTATTACAGATACTTCGAATTGATGCGACATGCTCTCTCAAAAACAGATTTTCAAGGTTCAGTCTTAATTTAGGTTTTTGATTCCTGTAAATGAGTTCTTGCAAATATCCTGGCTTTTTTAAGGCAAAAGGACACAGTAACAAATGCTACAAACAAAAGAGGCCATTGGGCCTTACAAGCTGTTTTGTGGTGAACTAACTGATCCAATAACCTCACTCAACATTGTCCTAGAACAAGCCAGGGAATCAGCTTTGACAGCTTTCTTGCATAGTATATCCCAGATTTCCACAGCACTGCATAAAATAGTGCCCCCTACTCTGTTTAAAATGCACTTCAATCCTGTTTTCATTTGTGTTCTCCAGTTCATTCTTTTAGTCTGTCAGTGTCTGACAAGCCTTTAAACCTGCTCTCTTCTGGATCAAATTCACAGCTGTAAGATCTTTTTTGTAACACAATGACCAAAATTGTAAATGATCTAAATGAGATCTTACAAGTGCATTTGATAATTTTAACAACATAATCAATTTTAAATAATGCCATTAACTATATATCCTAAAGTTTCTTTTTCCTTTATTATTGCTTCACCACAATAAGAGAAATTACAACTGTAAAGATAAGTCAAGATTGGAATATATATGCTTGGCATTATAGATATTTTATAGCTGGCCTATATGAATAATAATTTACTACAATCTAACTTGACAATTAACCTGAAAATGACTCGTTCTAGAGTTCAGGTCACATACCCATTAAAATAAAAGGGAAGAGGACAGGGCGTGTCTGTTGAAAACATAATAAGTAGTTTAACTGAACTGTAATTGTCATGCACATGTACTGTAGTTCAAACAGTAAACATTTTCCCCAATAACATTAACAATCAAACTCAAAGGTCATTTACAACAATTTCCTTTTTTGTTCTGTAGTCACTCTGAGCTGGTTGATTGTAGTTCCAAAGTTTAAAAAAATATAAAGTAAAAAAAAAACTGTAAACTATTACATACATAATATTAAGAGTGAAGTAAAAAAAAAATTAAAGGGTTACCACAAATGAATCTGCGATTGTATTCAATGCTACTTATGCGGCATTTTTGGCAAAATGGAGAGATTACAGGACTGAGATGCTTGGAAAAACCTCAGGAATAGAATTCTAGTAGCTCAGGCCCCCTTAAAAGCCCTTGCCTAGGGTGAACTGAGCTTACTGCAATAGACAAATTCATGAGCAAACAGGTGTGGCCATGGCCATCGATACTAAACAACGTATTACTGAGGAAGCAAAATCCAAGCATTACAGAAAGCAATCAACAGATGTTTCAATATCCATATTCTTAGGTATTACAGACATATCTTTCTTAGGCCTGAAAACAAATGCTGAGGAGAGAAACAGCTGTTACAAGATTCAGTTTGTTTTGTTACACTATGCCATCAATAAACCAATTCAGTTTGAAGGTTTATACAATAACATAAGACAAATCTATCTCTCTAATATGAATTAGGTTCTTTAATTTAAAAATTCCCCCTGGTTCTAGCAGTGTACCAGCAATTAAAAAAAGACTGCAATTAAATATGTTCAAAACATTTTGTTTCTTGCTGATCACACTTGTACATGGGGTACATTATCTTGTTCATTAGCAAATCTCAAAGCAAATAATCATGAAATACTGTAGATACTGGCCGAAGTCTTTTAACTTTTAGAAAGTACAATCTACTTCAGGATAAGATGGAGATAATTAAAACATTTCAGCTGTCTGGTTAGGCAAACAAATTTCTCCAGGATTTACCGTATTAGGTTTCAGGAAATTACGACTTCAAGGTGCTGCAAAGCATAGAATCTTTGAAAACACGTATATTCATGAAATTCTTTTAACCACTTTGATTAAGAAGGGAAGTAAAACATTTCATAAGATATCTTTTGTTCTGCTTTTTTAAGGAAGGCGGCATTTAAGTCAAGATTTATTGGTATTCAAAATCTATAAAAAGGGAACAAGTGAGCAGTTGGGATGTTCAGTTTCATGATATTTCAATAATTGTATTTGATTAATTTTTAGACTATGTACATTACATTTGTCAACTGAAGATTTGAACCTGTTCATTTTTCTTTTCGGAAAACTCAAGCCCATCCCTCCTGAACGTGTGAAAAATGACAGTCCTTCAGAAACCACTGGGTAAAGTAATGTTTCTTTAATGCTAAATGGTCCTGGGTGGAAGATGCTGTTTGTACATGCCGGCTAAGGCTTTGGCTGCGCTGTAGATCATTTGTCTTCGGGACATTCCAGTGAGCATGACGTGCCAGTCAGTCCTGCTGATGTGTGGCAAGTTCCTCTCTAGTACCTCTCCCACTGTCACCAGCAGACCAGACCAGCGCAGGTTATAATCTGGAGGGGTGAGGGACTGAGCCTGCAAGGACCATCAGAAAAGAAATAAAAGAGGATTAAGGCATCCAGGAAACAATCACCACCAAATATTTCAACATCAACAGCCAATTCACACTGTAGTAGAGCAAAGTTAACACTTAATTTTTTAGCACAGTATCAGTTTAAATGTCTAACCAGTATAATGTACATCTTCTTGTATGTAAATCCACTGAATTGTTCTGGTGATGCTCTTCACACTACAAACAGAACTAAATGTACACGCATGCTGTTATACTGGTGCATTTAGAATATGTGCATTCATGATGTCCCTTCAGCTGAGAACACCCAGGGTCTGTAGGTAAACTCCATGCTTATCTGTGTTTTAAAAAATAGACTCTTCAGTCTGGTATATTACTATGACAAACGTTCTATCATATAAAAAAAACATAAGTCTTATATCCAAAGACATCATGGATCACATAGTAATAAGTTATGCAAAATCTATGAAAAAGAAGACAACACTATGTGAGCTGACACCAGAGACCTAAAGCTCTTATATAATCATAAGATATGAGGGATATCTTCATTTGTTCACTTTAAAGGGCAAAGTTATCTCCTACTCCTAAATAGGGTGAAGCAGTTTCTGATTATCATCTGTAATTAATTTATAATATTATTTCTGGATAATGAACATACTTTCTTTTAAATGCGAGTAAAAATAAGCATTAAAAGAAACATATCTTAAAACTACATAACACTTTCTAGGACATGCATAAATCTATGGATAGGTCAGGATAAATATATATGGTATACAGTACAATTTATACAACTATATATAATCAGTTTATTGAAGCTTGCTATCCATAGACAAGAATACAATGTGAATAATTTAGCCCTGTTATATTGTATCCTGGTAAATGCAGTTTATTAGTGACACACCCTTTGAGTCACCACATTTTCCATGATAGACACTAAAGAATTCTCAAAACAAAGCAAAAATCGTACACATTAATTTTCTAACATTGTGATAAAATGATCATTTAAAAATATGGCATTATTACTTGCACAACTATCACATAATTACGTCCAATAAAAACTAAATTACCTTTGAAGCTTGTAGCTTCTGTACTGTGGAGACCAATTTGGAATTCAAGTAACTACATGCCTCAAAACTGTGCAATGCTTAAAACAGAAAAAGAACTGCTGGAACAAGGGGTCTACTAGAAATAAGCATTGCAATTTCAAAGGCAAATATGGGAGACATTTACATATTATGATTTAGCTTTCAAGAAAAAAAGCCAGTTTTTCAGAATACCATTAACATTAAACGTACAGAATGATTTGGAATAGGCAGTACTGAAAATACAACAGGACCCTGCTAACATGTTTTGATTGATTCTACATAATTTGAATGATCATTAGAATATATGAATTCTAGATAAAAAGCACTATGCCAAATAATGTATAAAGTTGATCCCTGAAATAACAAAAGACACATGATGGGTTTGTGACGAACCTTTAATCAACTGTACAGTAAATACATTAGCCTTTATGTTAGGAATGGAGGTGGGGGCTGTCTATAGTTGAGCCATTATAAAATACTGTCAATTCTCCATATGAATGACAATCTTTATCCAATCGACCAAGTTAAATGTTGGACAGAGAAATAAATTAACTCAATGTCAAACTGTCTGGAAATCATTTTTCCAGACATTTCCTGATGCAAATTATTCCACTCATGGGAAACAAAATAACTTGCTAGTGTTGAGCACCATAATATTGGACAGGGAGGCCAATTATTAAGATTTACATTATAGAGAAATGCATGTTGTCTGCCAAGACCACAGCCAGCAAAGGATCTCGCAGGGGCAGAGGTGTCTCTTAGAATAGATTCATTATCAGAATATACAAATGTCTTAGTCTTTAATATTTTCCCTCTTTTCTCAATATCCTGCAAATATGTGAGCTAATAGGGCTTTGAGTAAATTATGAAAAGTACATACTACAGATAGGCATCCGCTAAAATATAGAAGTACTGCATGAGATGTTACCTTAAGAGTGTAGCTTTTCACCATGGTACAGCAACAGACGCCAGAAACAAACAAGTATCAGTCTGTAACATTTTCAAAGTCTGTTTGCTCCAATTGGAAAAGTTAGGCATGTGAGGTTCTCAAACATGTCAGCCTGTCACACCACTGAACCTAGTTCCAAACATTTCACTCCGGGATTCCATCTTAACTGGAATTTAAGGTTAGACTGAATACTAACAGGGCCAATACATTTGCAACATGGCAAAAGATTTGATATGCTTTACTTTATCCTCATAAACAATAAAAAGAAAAAAATTAAAACATTATACATTAACATTAAACATTATAACTATACGTATTCTCAAAAACCTCCTAAAGGCCACATGGTGATGGCGAGATTAAAAGATACATATATTACTTATGAAACTTGCAAACCTTAATTAAATAAATAATTAAATATTTTTGATATTATATACTTCTATATCCTCAACTAGACAGATGGTTTTACCTCAATATGCAATTGATCAGCAAAGTCTGAAAATTTTCAGCTGCATCAAAAGCATGACATTTCAAGGGAGAAACATGCTTACTGAGGATTAAGTAATTTGTACCAATTACACAGGGATGGACTCCACCAAAATATGAAAACTGTCCATCACTTTTCACATGAACAATCCTAGCAAGCAAAATAAACTTGTCATAATAATTTTGGGTAAATGTAAACTCCACTGCAGTAACTTTAAAACACTGACCTGCTGAACATATTCCAACGGCACTGGAGTGGCTTGCGTAAAACTCTCAATGTGAATACCATGGCCAGGGTCCTCTAGAATTAAGCAGCCTATATCAAACCACCTGAAAGAACATAAATACGAAGTTTGATCACCTCCTTAACTGCATCTGATAACTATGAAACCCATTTTTCTACTAAGGAAAGAAAATACACATTTTTAACAAAGTGATGTAACTGACATTTTATATGATATGTATGAATGGTTATATGGGCGCTTTATGGCTTACATGATTTTCCAGTTTTCAGATTAAGATTTTTGTCTTCTGCCATAAAATGCTGTAACATACTCAAAGAATAAAATTAAGCAAACCAGGGAGACAAATCCTTTTTATACAGCAGGATAAGAGACAAATGCATCGTATACACTATACATATTATATACATACTGTATATATACCTAATTTGTAATTGCAGTTTTCTTCCAGCTAAGATATGTTGCTTGCTGGTGACTGCAGTCCTGCTTTCTAAAAGGCTGAACGTATTTTGCCAATGCCATCTCTTTAGGTAACCTTAAACAAAACTGATTAACATTTCTGGTATGATTCCAGTTCTAGAACGATAAATGAACTCTACTCCACAATGTATTAGAAAACTTGAAAGTAAAGACAGATACTGATTAACTGATGGTATCACCTTGGGATATCCCGCTGTACACGAGATAGATTAATAAGAAGAACAAGAGAAACACAACACTTTGAACAGAACAGTTGCTGTGCTTTGTTAAATGCAGGAGAATATTGATTAGCTTGGGTCTGGGAGCTGAAGCTAATCAGGAAGATTAAAGAAAGCTCCCCCTTACTTGTCAGGAAATAGCTCTGCAATAAAGTTCTCTACTGAGACAACAGGCTGCTTCTCATGGATCATCCCCACTCGACGCATACTGTCTATCCGTTCCTGGGCACCCTGCAAGGAAATGATTTCAGTACAAATGTTAAATGTTCTCCTATCAACTTAGAAACGTCTCTTTGCACTGATCCACTTATGTCTCTAGAGGCTTTCTCCCCACTCTTTGAACACACTATTGTTATCTATCCTGAACACCTCCCTGTACTAGGAGGTCCTTATCCGGTTTACCTTGTAGATGGTATGTCAACAGAACATCAGGTAGCCATGTCACAAGATCAAGGATTATTTGGCCTGTGGCCAATTCTTATTTACAGGGTATTGACACAACTAAGAGACCCATGAAATCCTTTTTGCAGGATTTGCAAACTGCAAATTCTTTGGAAACTTGTAAAAAAGATATGACTCAATTTGAAAAAGATCGGTATAATTAGTTTTCTTTAACAAAAAGTCATGCGTCATCAGAGGATTCATGGAACACAGGCATTAGCTGTGTTAGTCTACAAACTGCTTGAAGAAGCTGTTCAATCAGGAAGCTGCGCAGTGCAATATAACAGTCCTCTACTCACTTTCAGCCCCGCTGCATAGCCTACAGGCTGGGGAGCAATGTTGGACTGGCTGGCTTCCCCCGTCACTACTGCCAGCCCAAACACCTCCTGAAAGGCATCGCGCACAGCTGCAACTTTCACTTCTTTAGTGGAGGTCACAACAATGTCAAGATCCCCACTGGACTCTGGAATTACAATGCAGAGGGTTGTTAATGGAAGCATGTGAGGAAAGGCCACGACTAAACGATTATTCCCCATTCTCTCAGGAGCTTGAACCACAGAACAAAAAACAACAAATTAGGCAATCACATTTACTTTTTATCAGTCTTTTAAAAAAATGTTTTTTTTTTAAGGTATCTTCTACAATGCACTCTTAAAATCTCTCTTTCTATACATGGCTTCTTAAGAACATAAGCAAGGTTACAAACCAGAGGAGGCCTGATGAAACATCTTGCTTTTGGTTTAATATTTCTTGCCCTTAGGCTTCAGCCAAATCAATAAATCATTGAGAGCAGTCAGGAAACATAAGATACTAACTGCTTCAAGTATGAGCTTCACTAAAAATGTATTCAGTGGGGTTTAAGTTACTTAATGCAATTTGGGATGTTCAAGTCCCAAGCAAGCCTTATTATTTCAATTGTGATGGATTTTCAAGTGACACTGCAACATTCATCCCTTTATATGTAAGAACATTATAGATTTAAATTTGAAGAGATCTGAAATTACAATCAAAATGTTTGAGGAACTTCCACAAAATGTACGACATCACTGCACAAAAAACTACCATAACAAATACTCAACATTCAATACCAGCCACAGCTGCCTTCCCAGTGGCAAAAACAAACAATGGAACAAGATGTTTCCTGATCAAATCACTGAGAAGTTACAGGAACAATTACTGATACTGTTGAAACTGAAGCTGTGCGGCAGCACTTTATAAAACACTCCATCGCCCTAGTGCAAAATCAAGTCAGGTTTGCTCAGAGCAAATGGCTCTTATAGCATGAAGTACAAGCAATGAATCTAGACAAGTAAAGAACAGATGTTTGGTACAGCTTGCTACTAAAAGAAAATGGAAAAAAAGCAGGGTGCAGGAAATGCAGAATGAAAGAATTTGTGTGGATCACTCTTATAGACTGTGTAGATTGTGTTTGAGTGACTAAAACAAGACATACTTATATATGGAGCCATTCCGGGATCCAGAGTAGTGATCATTGACTCCACAGAGTGCTTCGTTTTGTCCAGAACAGATTTCACCATTGGATTTCCAGCTACACCCTAAAAAGATCAAGCATTAAGAAATTATTGTATACATCTAACTATAGAGCAGAATAATCATTACATCCAAGACACTTAATATAATTTTTTGTGGCATAAATTAAAGTGGCATCCTTAATAAATAGACAAGAGACTAATTCTAAGAATAATCCATTCTTAGGATTGCACTTAGGATACACTGTATACTTAGCCACAAGGCTTCTCTAAACAATTGTTGATAAAGGAGTAAATTAAACACTGCAATATCATATTTTGCTTCATCATTACATTTTTCAGGAGTGCATTACTTAAAATTAATTAAACTCAGTGCTAATGAACTGAAGAAACACCCCAACCATTATGCTTCCACACTCCACACATAGCCTGTCATCTCTCTGACTTCACTGCATCGCGATACTTGTCGGCTGCAACAAAGATCCGCTCAGTTAAAAACAAATCAGGATGATATCTGTTTAAGAACATGACTTCAATTTTATAGTTCATTGATTAAAGCACATTTTGAATAAATTCCTTAACGTGCATTTATGCTATTTCTTGTAATTACACATATATTCATACAAACAAAATCAAGGTCCACAAAAAAAAAAAATCTATATTCTGACCCACCTAGTGATCACAAATCACAAACCCAGCACTTGATGAGGTCCTTGCACAGCAGAAAAAGCATAAGAGCACTGTAGAATCTCATCAAGCATCTGGCTTGCAGTTTGTGATTGCCAGGTGGGCTGAGGTTTTGATGTACTTTGGGCCTTAGCTTTTGACGTGTTTTAGAATGTATTGTTTTTTTTTAATACAATAGCATAAAAGTTGCAAGAAGTTGACAGCACTCTTGAGCGCTAATGAGTGATTTGGCTCTTAATTGTTAAGCACATCTGCTTGGTATACCCAAATACAATTTGGATTTGTTGGGGGAAAAAAGAGAAAATGGGACCATCACACCTGTTCATGAATACCTGTCTGAGGACAGAACAGCACAATTAGCACAACACGGAAAGTATTAAGTGTTTGAACCACATAGTCATCACTAACTCCTCACGGGCATGGAATAAAAAATAAATAAGCACATATAGATCACACACTTTAAAAACATTAACAGATGAATGCACATCGATTTCCAATAATATTTACTGAATTAAAAAATAACTTTAAATGGTAGGTCATTCCATTTCTATCTACAACACCCTGTGGCCAAATTTAGAATTTCATTTTGATTCTGAAGTTTCATGAAACCTTAGATGAAAAAAAAGATAATTGAATTTCTATAAATTCATGTTTCAAATTAAAGTAAGTTTTTAGAAATTAGATTAGTAATATATTTGAAGATAAAGCTCTTTGTTAAGCATCTGATTCCAAGGAGCAAGGTCTACAGTGCAGTCTGTAAAGATCCATTTTGTGCAATTTAAAAAGGTCAGCTTGACTTGTTTAATATTAGAAATTAATAAAACAAAGCCAGTGCCTATCTGATCCCTTTCCATAACTTTACACAGATGTTCAGTTTTAAGGCTAAGACTTCTCATTTATTTTTTTTCCAGATCTGAAAACACCAGATGGCCTTGTCCAGGGATGCCCAAAACACTGTCCTGCAGGGCCTGACTCTGCAGGCTGTATATACAGAGTTCTTCAATCCCTGACATGTTCTAGACCTCAGGAAGATAACAGAGACTAAAAAAAGTACTGTACATAATTAATAAGAAAGTAAATCAAGCAGTAATTGGACACAGAAGATTCATTGCTTGATTTTAAGAGAAATAAGGGGTGAATAATAATTGGAACAAATCAATTTCAATTTGATAAAAGCAAACAAAAATTCAATGATGCAGAAGTTCAAAATTTTCATGAATTCCCAGACACTACAGGTTCAGGTAAGGGTGTTAAAGTATAAGACGGACAGACATGCTCAATACTGGTCCTGGTGGGCTGTTACGTCTGTAGAGTTTCTGTTTCTTTAAAGCAGCAGCAACTGAAGAACTTAAATTTGTCCAATTATGCCAATAACGAGCTGGTTTGGATTGTTAAAAGCCAAGCTGGAATAAAATTCTACAGGAACCTCCAAGGGTCAAGATGGAACAGTTGTGGTGCAAGAGCTCCCCACAGAGTCTGGCTTGTGTACTTCAGTAGAAAAAGAAATTCATGCAGTAGCTGCTTTTAAATGGCATTTCAAATCCTGTTTGAATACTATCCCAGAATAACCAGATTTCACAATTTTCAAAATCCCACCATGTAAACTTGAGAACTCCAAAAAATGGATCTGTTTAATCTGATTCAAATACATTGCAGCTCCCCTTGTAAATTTGATGTCTGGACCAGTATTTGTTTCAGCATTGCTCATGTATGGTGAAATTCGTAAACAGTATATATTTGGATCTGTAATATGGATGCTCTGGACTCATAACTAAAAGGATGAAGGCTTAAATCCTGGGTACTATATTGCTATTGCTGTTGTACACTAAAGCAAACGGCCCAGCTACTTTGCATAAAAGCATCAAGCCAACCTAATTCAAATAATGCATATTTGATTGTCTTTGCGAGTGGAACTACCATCACTGGCACTCTACAAATATGCCAATTTCTCAGCAGAAAATTGCAATTACAGGCTCTCATTCCAAGATATGAGATCTTACTCAACTGTCATGCATACTTTAGTTTCTGACTGCTAAAAACAGAATCTAGAAATCTATTGCATGGCACACAAAAGTAGAAGAAGGATGATAAATTACCACTCTTCCTCACATTAATTTGTTATAAAACTCAATGTAGGAAACAGAAACATAGCATGTTAGCATTACAACAATTACAAGTGAAAGGGGGCCATTTGTTTTTTCTTGCTCATTTGATTTTTTAGTAGGTAACTGATAGAAGGAAGATATATTTCTTGAAACAATCGAGGCTGATACAAAGGAAGCAACAGAAAATGACAAAATAATGCCAGAGAAAAAATCCCTCTCTTTGAGACAAGAGTTTTCGGCTTTTTAAAGTTTGCTAAATTAAGATCAAAAGAATGCTTTCTCCAAATTGAACCCACGTGGGATGTATTTGCACCCCATCATAGTGTCAAGCTAATGATAAATGTTTTAAAGACTTCATTTCAGGTATGAATGGAGATAAACCCAATTACCATCACTGTCTATCTGCTATTGTTTGCAATCCTGCTCTCTCAAAATGCCATCTTATAGATTGCAATGTATGCAAAAAACATGCTCTCCATGTTAGAAAAATAACTTCAAAGCAGTCTGGACCTATACATGATAATAGAAGCAATGGTTAACTTAAAAGTTTTTTTTAAGTAATCCACTGGGCTGCCTTTGTCAGTGCCTTAGATGATTTTGAATACAGGTATCACATCCAGTCAGACTATTCAAGACTTAAAATAGTCAATTTGTTCAGCCTGTCAGTGTAGGACATTCACTTAAGCCCCAGAGTGCAGCAATATCTTGTCTATAACATGCTTACCTTGATTGTGTATTCTAAATGAAGCCCTTGATTTAAATTCTACACTTTTATGTGTTTAGTCTAAAATTGTTTGCTTTTTTTTGCTTCACTACATTATCTGAAAGATGTAGAAAACGTTTCAATATAAAATCATAAGTAGCCTCTGTGTTTTAGAGTTTTTTACAACCTGCATAAATAAATGTAATGCCTTGCACATTGCCTACATTAAACTTCATCTTCCAGGAGTTTGCTCAATCACAAATCATATCTGAATCTTTTTTTAATTTTCTGAGCAGTGGTACTAGTACAAATCCCTGAGGTACTCCTTTAATTACACAACTGGGATATATACCCCTTAGCTATACTCTCCATTTTCTATTAACCACTTCTCAAGTAGTCCGGATATACACATTTCACTATATAAGTGCCAATAATTATAATAAATACACCACATCCAATGCTTCAAAGAAACATACGTTGATTAAACAGTCATAGATCACACAACCATCTTCAATGAGTGATTAGTGCAATACAAGGTTGTGGTTAACTGTAGTTTAATTCAATAGACCTTGGAAGTAAGGGTTTAGGCAGATTTCCACAGCATGACAAGTATATGAACTGAATTTGAGCAAAATGTAATACGATCACACAAAATTCAGGCTGATTCCACATGGAATGACCAGAATACAAAGAACAATATAGACAACTATGCTTTCTTATATCAAAAAGGTCTATAGCAGAAAAATAAATTTATAAAATGTTTTGGGTGAGGACTGACAGAAAGCACCCTTTGGTGATTTGTTTTGCTTGACGTGATTTTTTAAACCTTATCTACTTTCCTGTAAAATACTTAACTATGTTTCCAAATCCCTTTAGAAATGCAAGGTAAAACAAAACCCAGACACCCTCCTGGCCTCCACAGTGGCATTTTATCTGGCTGATGACTTAATGAAAACTCATTAAAAGACAGATCAAACATTATAATTCAGTATAGAAATATATCGATAATACTGGATTCCCCATCCCTTTGTTTCTATAAGACTGTATAGAAACTGACCTGCTACCATTATTGCCAGCTTAGCAGCTGAATTCATTTAGCTTCACACAGTATCTTTAATGCAGATCAGCACAATTACCAACATCTCCCCAGAAACAGGAACTGAAAATAAGCTTGCCCCTTGTGAGGTCAAATATGAAGCACATACACTGTCAATCACCCAATGGTCAACAGCTAAGAGCTAACAGCAAACCCACAATGATGCTTTG